AATATCGATTTTCTCAGCTGACCAATTAGAGCACAGCTGATCTGTCATGTGATGGCATCTTCCCGCGTTTTCAAGATAGCTCTCCTACTTACCAAGTGTTGCCGTTTGCGGGTATTTTACTCGGAAATCGGGTATTTTCGTCATGTTTGCGGTTAGAATTTTGAAGCCGGTAAAATCGAATATTTTGCAAATTTCGATCAAAATACTAACTGAAGATATTTTCAGTAAATAATATTGTATGTTTACTAAAAATGCATAATGATTTTGTTGTATATAGGATATCCTGTTACATTTTTATTTACTTATATAAAAATTTTAAATTAATTTAAATATTTTTTTAAAAAACAGGGCGTAGCGCTAGTAAATTTAAAATATAACTAGTTTTTTTAGTACCTATTTTGTAATTTTTGGTCGGGAACTTTTATGACATTCATGAATGCATCCGGCAACACTGTATAAAACACATGAAGTTCAACCATATTTGTTTACGAGTTCGACCAGAGATAAAGAATTGTTATACGTTATTATACCTTATATATGTACTTAATCAACAAGGGATCTGTATGTACACAAACCAAACGTATCTCCCAACTGTTTTATTCTGTTCAATTAAAATACCTATATTGTAAACATTGCTTCCGTGTTTTTATAAGCCTTATAACAACACAAAAACAGTGTTTATAAATCCTTTTCATTGTGCTTTCTTTTGCAATAACCAAATACAACATCTCTGAATAATTCCGGATATTTATTTTAATCGCTATAGGTATCACCTAATCTGTGATAGGTATAACAACCAATTCTCTGCTAAAAGTCTTATTAAGTCTTAAAAAGTCTTATTAACTCTTCCAGAAGACTCCCAAATCTTGCTATTAGTCTGACTTACTAAGACTTATTCAGACTTTTTCCGACTTAATAAGTTTTATTCTGACTTTTTCCGACTTAATAAGTAATATTCAGACTTTTTAAGAGAAAGTAAGACTTTAAAAACTCTTATTAAAACTTTCTCAGAGAAAAATTTGCACAAGGGTACATTCTTTTTCATTACAAGCGCACCGGAAATTCGATTTTCACTGCCTTTTGAGAGATAATGAGTTAAATAATCGTTAATATTTACGCGTTTTTAATCATCCTTAGGCGGAGGATAGTGAACACATTGACAAACATTTAGTTGTTTCAACCAAAATACAGTTTAACAATTTAACTATTGCATTTACAGCTAATTTTTTTATCACTGGTGTCAAAAAAATCAGTTGTAGATGTGAAAGTTGAATCGTCTGCTTTCCCCAGAAAAGTTTCGCTACGCGTGTCAAATATTTTTTTTTAAATGAAGTATTTTTTAAACGAAAAAATTAAAAAAAAAAAGTATTCTGGTAATCAAACCCTAGTCTCGTGGGTGAAAGCCAGACCATACTAGTGATGCCGCCGATACAATAGATTCTCGGCTCTCGTCTCGTCTCGTCTTGTCTCGTCTCGACAAGACGAGAGGGCGATTTTCTCTCGAAAAAAGGCTCGAGACGAGACGGGAGAATGCCCTCTCTCGCTCGAGAATTTCTCGTTTCTCTCGATCTCCTCTCTTTTTTTCTCGATTATTAAATATTAAATCGATTCCCGACCTCCAAATTTCAAATCTTGCCAATTCGGAGATCGTAAAACGTTTTTCTTGCCAAATTAAATGGACCAATGAGAACATTATTCGCATTTCATAATAAACAAAATTTGTTTCTGGTTAACGTTATGTTATTTTATAACACAACTTAACGTTAACCAAGAAAGAAAAAATTATAAAATAATAATAATAATTTTTAAAATGTACCCTGTATACTATATATAGGCACATCTATGGCACTTCTTATACTATTAAAAAAACCATATGCTTATTTAATAAACTTATCAACAACATGTGTTTTTTGAGGGGCTGATTATATATAATCTTGATATCCATTTCTTTAAAAAATAAAATGGGTAATCCAATATGACAAAAAATTGTCGTTCGGCTTTAATGGTTTGGGTAAAATTTAGTATTTAGATATTTATGGGGTCTCTGATTAAGAATTTGTTATCCATTAAAAAAACAAAATTGCGTATTCAAAATGACAGACATCTGTAGGTAGAAGATGGTTGGATCTATTTGAAGTAGTTCCATTTAGTATATAGCCGCAGTCAGGCCCGTAGCCAGAAATTTGGTTTGGGGGGGGCCAAAACGTAGTAATAATTTTTTGGGTGGTAGGGGGGCGGAAATGGTTGATGGATATTTGTTATTAAAGTTGGACTCATTAGTAAAAACTGCTTTGTTGTTATGAATATCATCACTGTATTTTTTAATTGTCACCCTATTAAAAATGCCATATAGAAACAAAAAATAAAAATCTATCTGGTTCAATACAGAAACAAAAAATAAAAATCTATCTGGTTCAATACAGGAATTTGAAACAGGCATTGCACTATTGAACCAGATAGAATTCCATACCTAGAAAACCATATAGAAAAGTGATTTCTATATGGATTGCCATATATGGCAACCTATATATAGGTTCATATTGCTCTACCTGGCCCAATATGGTTTGGGTGTGAAAAAATTATTACCATATAGATTCATATTTAACCATATAGGGGAATCTATATGGTTTAATATGCAATTTTCGTTTAAATATATATACATTTTAAAATGGAACTCCATATTCAACCATATAGGAAAACCTATATGGAAAGACACATAAAACAGAAACCAGATAAATCCATATAAAAATCCCTAAGTTGTACATTTTAAAATGAAATTCTATATTAAACCATAAAGATTCCAAAGTGTAAACCAGGTCGTTCCATATAGGACATATAGAACTAAATAAATCCATATTAGTTTCCTTATCTGGATCAATATGGGTTCTATAGGGCATTTTTAATAGGGCAGTCACGCACATACACATCAATTGTCAAACAAAAGCGTCAATTTCAGTAGAAAAAATTTAAAATTTTAACCTTCGCGATTTCTTTGATGATATAATCTCAAGAACCTTATTCGGATCGATACCTAAGTTTCCATGAATTGACAGTACGGCGAGTGCACTAAGTCTTTCGTTGCCCGTTGAGTTACGTAAGTAAGTCTTGATTCTTTTCATTGTCGAAAATATTTTTAAAACATGATTCACATATTTAGGAAAATTTTAGGGTTCATGGAATTTCGGGGGGGCCCGGGCCCGTCGGGCCCTACGGCTGGCTACGGGCCTGGCCGCAGTAGTTTTCAGATGGATGGATCAAATCATTTGATCCATCCAAATGATTTGATCCATCTATCTAAAAACTACTGCGGCTATATACTAGATGCACATAAAAATCTAACATAGTACCAAGAACAGCGCTGTCATTGAATGCATTAAAATTGAAGCAATCTAAATCTAAATCTAAACGGTTATTTGATCAATTAACTATTAAACCAAAATAGGGAAACATTTTGCCTAAATGTCAAAGAATTTATTGCGTTAAATGTATACATAGTATACATACTACAGGACTGTTATCAGTGGCGGCTGGTGGATTTTGGGCACACCCATATCTCAGTTATTAGACATGGGACCCACATCAAATTTATATGAGTTTATAATAACATTATATAGACAAGTTCTGCGCAAGCAGAATTTAAATTAAAGTTTGCGAAAAAATGTTAGTTTTTAAGTGCAACCCGGGCCTCAGCCTCCTGCCCCTCCAAATTAGGATAATTCAAATTAAAGTGGTACAATATTTAATTCACTGAAGTTTATCGACAAATTTTAAATTTTATTAAAAAAATTTAAGAATTACACGTTTTATACCATTTATAATTTTTATTATTTCTTTTACTAAATTTAAAAAAAAATTGAAATGGTATAAAATCTGTAATACTTGAATTTTTTTAATAAAATTTGAAATTTGTCGATAAACTTCAGTGAATTAAATATTGTACCACTTTAATTTGAATTATCTTAATTTGGAGGGGCAGGAGGCTGGGGGTTGCACTTAAAAACTTTTTTTCGCAAACTTTAATTTAAATTCTGCTTGCGCAGAACTTGTCTATGTAATGTCATTATAAACTCATATAAATTTGATGTGGGTCCCATGTCTAATAACTGAGATATGGGTGTGCCAAAATCCACCAGCCGCCACTGACTGTTATTAAATAAATCAAATTAGTATTTAATGCAATAATATTTTAACATTCTAACAAATAATGATCAATATATATATGAATATCAATAGATTTAGGAGCGATAACTTTTGTTGTTAATTTAAAAACAGTAAACGATTATAAACCTAGTGCTAACTACCTATTGGTATTATAGGAACTGTTATTCAGGATTACGGATCACAAGATCCCATTGGTTTAATGGCTCACCCATTCATGCTATGCTAGCGTTTTTTCTGTGTGGAACTACTCCACATAGATCCAACCATTTGATTCAAATGCGTTTTCGGCGTAAAAAGTCTTACTTTATCAGTGTGGTCTTGGCTCACATTTTTTTATTTCCAGTTTAAATTTCGATATAAAAAATTATAAACGAATTCGTATTTCATTCCAAATAATTTTTGTATTCATACATAGCTACTTTTACCACGAGAGAAACGAGACGAGACGAGAGAAAAGCACTCTCGAGCGAGAAAAGAGTATTCTCGACGAGACGAGGGACCCATTTTCTCTCGCTGCACGAGACGAGACGAGAGAAGGACTTTTCTCGCCTCGTCTCGTCTTTATGTACAAGTAAAATAATGAATTCAAATACATATAATAATATTATAACGAGATATATATCCTATGAACCTTTGAATTAATTAATGTAATTCATTTATTGTATTATTGTATTATGCATATATTAAAAAAAAACTTATATTTAATGTAAATATTTGCACAAAAATTGTGCAAATTTTCAATGCACACTTTGTGCGTAAATTGAACCAATTATGTGCAAATATATTCATTCCAAGGGGTTTGCATGCAAGATGTGTTTCAATAGTGGTATGTAACTAACTTGTCTGAACATTTGAGGTGGCGGATAGAAGGTCGTCGGTCTGTAGCCATATTGAAGTGGCGTGTCAGGCGGCGTCCTAAACGCGCCCTCTACCCCGCTGTTCGGACAGTAGCCCGAAATAACAGTGGTCGCCGGCGAATTTGTGCCCGTACTGCTTTGACTTGAAACCATCACAAACCCTTTGGGGCTGCCAAACTTGTTACCATTGGAAAAACTTTTCGGGCGGTCGTACTGGAAGGAAGATTGAGGTGGCGGATTCTTGACAGATCCCCCCTGCAAACCGCTACCAATAGACATTTGTTGCATACCTAAATGAAAACAAGACAATTGTTAATTAATAAAATACAGATTCATTAAATACATTTTAATTAAGGTATTTTTTTTACAAAAATGTGCCATATAAATAAATACTAATAATTAATTAACAATGAGCGATAAACTTTGGTTTGAGGAAAAAATGCAAACAATTTTATTTATAACAATATTTTATGAAATTTTTGATTTGAACAAAATATCATTTAAGTGACCTGTTCGAACAGTGGTGGTCACTTAAATGATATTTTGTTTAAATGATAAATTTCATAAAAAATTTATATAAATAAAATCGTTTGCATTTTTTCCTGAATTCATACCAATTTTTAGTCACTAGTCCCAGTATATCCAGCTTTATGCCACTAAAGTGGGCTTCCGGGACATCAAGAGTCATGGGATTGTGCTGTAAACTAGTTATTTTATGTAGCTCCAAAAAAGGTAATCCAATGTTTCTAATCATTCCGATGCATTTATTAAATTACCAATCATTTCGGACAAAATAGTCCAAAATAAAGATCATCTAGATCATTGAATTTATAAAAATTAGGATCTTCTCTAGAAGATCAAGAGTGTTCCAGCAGTCGTGGCGGCCATTTGTTTTTTTCCCCAATAATCGCTTAATTGCATTTTTCAAGTAAATGATAATATTTTTAAATATTGCTCTTATATAAAAAAGACTTGGCCAACTAGCAACTTTTATAATTTTTAAGGCCATGGGTAAGAATTGGGTCCCCAGATTTTTGGAGAATAAAATTTTGCTCATGTTCTGTTACTACTTAAAATATACACAATTTGTAAGGTCGCCTTCTGCAGAACTGGGTCCAATCCATCCTAGGTAGTTTTAAAACTCACCTTGTGCAAGATGAACAAAATTTTGGTCTCTCGTGCTGTATTGCTGCTGCTGTGCGTTTGATATCGACGACGCACAGCTGTTGGGCGTTGGCGTCGTGGGATATGGCGGTTGGTGCGTTTGCGCAGTTTGATACACGGAGTTGGGTGCAGCTTGATACATTGGATTGTACATGACCTGCTGGCCGCCGTAGATCATGGCGGCGGCCGCAGCGTTTGCAGGCTGGGTGGTGGCAGCCGTCGCGGCTTGACTCGCTTGCTGATATACGACCGGCAGCTGGTTGGGAGGCGGGTAAAGGGGCAGCATGTCGGCAGCCTGGCAGGCTTGCTGTTGTTGAGGCAGGTAGTTCGGCTGGTATGCTTGGGGTATGTATCCTGTAAATAAAAAGTGTTTTTTTATTTATATATTTTAAATAAAAAAATAATAAAATATGATACATTTTATTTTCTTTAATTTGTTAAACATAACCGATTATAAAACTAAATAAAAGTTTTTATTATAACTTCAAGGCCAAAAATGTTATTTAATCGTCGACCGAAAAATATTGATTTAGGAGCTATGAAATCGCGAGCAAATTTATTTCGGGAGACGAATATGGAATTTTATCGTCGTGTGCACTTAGTACGTATTACTACAATATTTTTTATATAGCCTTAATAATATTAAATACCGGGTCAATAATAGAAAGATAATGCGCATTGTTTTAAATTCGAGATAATTATCTCGAGTTAAACTACATAATAACCTTACTTATTCTTAATGTTAGTTGTCCCTCGTATATTTAAAACAATCTGACATCTGTTAATCAGGCCAGCAATATCACCAGATCTAAAACCTCTAGACTGTTTCCTATGGGGACATCTCAAAAACAGGGTGTTTAAAACACAACCTGCTAATTTAGATGAATTAAAAAACAGAATAACTGCAGAAATTAGAAACATAACAGCGGAGGTTTTAAATAGAGTGCAGGAGCAATTTTACAGTAGATTACTTAAGGTCAGGAAGTGAACGAAGGATATTTTGAACATTTATAAGATTAAAGAACAGTTTATTTTTAAAATTTTAATTACTTTTAAATAAAAGAGTTTTTAATATCCCTGTATTGAAATAGTATATTAAAGAACTAATGTCATAAGACGTAATTTTGTCGCATGCGGACAATTTATAAAACGAGCGCCGGATGAGCGAGTGTTGTAATGGACGAGTGCGACAAAAGGTCTTATGACATGAGTTCTTTATGCTTTTTTTCAAAAATTCTAAAAAAAAAATTAATTTTATACCTTAAATTTAATTTGATCAAATTTTACTTTAGATAGTTGCAACTATGGTATCACAGTTATTGGTTTGACAGTTAATGCCATAATCGATTCGCCATGCCGTCCTTAATTTACTTATTTACAATAAGCGCCTGTTAATGTTAAAGAAGAAAAAAAATGATTTTCTTTGGTGTTAAACAAAATTTATTGCCAGAAAAATCTCGTAAGTAAGTACTAGAAAAATTATAAAAATATTATAACCAATATGCAAAATATTATGCTGTTTAAAGTATAGCCAACCTATAAAATCAAAATTTTGGGTGGGATAAAGTATCTCATTACAGCACCGAAAGCGGTGTTATAATGAAGTCATATATGAACGCAAAATAGATAAACTATGTTTACTAAACTCTACTTGGGGTATCGTCGTACTCAACTTTCGATGAAAAGAGTGGTAGGTATTATATTTAAGATAAAAAAATTTCAAAAAAGGTAGTTTGTATTTTTATAAAACATGTCATCAAAATTCAAAAAACTATAACTAGGAAAGAGCTTAAATCTTCAGTAAGTAAGTAATATTTTAATGTAAAGAATAACTCAACAATTTTTTTTAAATTCGCAGGTGTCACACTCCAAAGAAAAAGTTATTTGGGGGAATGACCATATGGTCATATATACCTATATATTGTTTGGTTTAACATTTTTGAGTTTTTGTTTAGGACAATTACATTAAGGAAGTTTAAAATGCACTAAAATTAGTACTTATATCTTCCATTTTAACAAAATTGAAAAGGGACATAAACATTTTAGATAGGTGATCATTGATCACTGATCATAATTTGATTACCTGTTTGAGTTTGAGGTATGGGTACAGCAAATCGTTGATTAGCCGAATTCTGCGGATTATTATGATAATATGCGATTGGTTGTTGGTTCCAGTATGACGAAGGTTGCTGTTGATAGGTTAGTTGGGTTTGGGGTGGAGCCACTCCATCGGCCACGTAATAAGAACTTGGTATTTCGGCGATTTGTGTACCTTCTTGTATTATTCGTCCATCGAATTGTTGCGCGGGCATTGGAATTGAATAAGGAGTTGTAGCATACATAAGAAAAGCTTGTTGAGGTGATTGGTAGACAGCAACGTTTTCTTGACTAGCTGGGAAGCCATTGTTAAACACCTTAAAAAACAGTTTTTATATTTATTATTGTAAAACTTCTTACAATTGTTTAAAGAAAATGTTTTCCTAGAAACGCATGCCATGGTCAAGATTGTATGAAAATGGTCATGTTAATTCAGGGAAAAAATGTTTATAGTCAAAAATCGAGCATTATAAAAAAATCATGAAATGAAATTTGAATTACATTGTACTCACGGATGATGTGTAAACATCTAGGTTGTTTTTTTAATTTAAGCTAATTTTCACTATTATTAATTTTGAACTACCTTGGGAATTTGTTCTACATTTTTTTTTAAATGTATGCTACTGCACATGTGCGAATTATTCTTGTCCACGAGTTTGTCCTATAAACCATTTTTAAAATTTTTGATACCGTGTACATTTTTCCTACCATTTTTAAAAATTTTTGCTACTGTGAAAATTTTTCCTAACATTTATTTAATTTTTAAACTACCGTGTGGATTTGTCTGACAAGTTTCCAATCAAATGTCTCAGTGAACCAGGTATTTGTTATATGAACGATGAATGAAATTTTACAGTAGGTAGATGCCCCGGTTGTGGCCATCGCACCGTTTGTGGCCATCCACAAAATAAATCTTAAATATTAACGGCCACTTTCAAACTAGCCAATAAGACAATCTAAAATTCCACTCCTTATTGTATTATGGATCGTGCCAGTGCTTTACATTGCGTTTGTCAGTTACAGTGTTTGTAAAACAATCGGTTTTTTTAAGACGTGGCAGGAATGTTGTGATTTTTTAGGGATTTTGTTAAGAAACACGAGGTAAGTTAATGCATGATTCTGTGTAAGAATTTAAATGTTTGTGTTCAAAGTGGATGATATTTGACTTATAAAGGAATTTTACATGTTATTTTAACACTTTGAAGAAGATATTTAACTCATAAATAATTAAATTAATAGTGGCCACAATAGGAGCATCAAAAGTGGGTTCTGCGCCAGTTGTGGTCTTTAAATGGCTACAAATGGGTCATGAAAACCAGTTGTGGCCATGCAGTAGAAAGAGATGGCAAAATGTAAAACTAAACAAGGTAGAAAAGGGGTACATAACAGCCTTAAATTAATTTGTTTCAAAAAAATTATGGCACCCCGTAAATTATTTCAATATTCCGAAAGTGCCCTTAATGCCATACAGCATGATTATATGCCCGTATCAACAGCATGCAAGAATTTAATGAATTTAATGTCCCTAGATGATCTGTACGAAATAGACTGGATGGTAAAAGAAGCGATGCCGAAAAGTTGATCCAACGTGTTCTCTTGGCCCAAAAATAGAATAAAAATTATAAAAATTGGTTTCCTGGATTCTGGACTCTTCCTCAAATGGTTTTCCTTTAAATAAAGAAGGCCTTCTATACTCTGTACAAAAAATCCAAGAGTGTAATATTCATAAAAAAAGAAAAAAATACCCCTTCCTTCAGTGATTAATTCAGATAAGTGGATAGAAATTTTTGAAGCCAAAGAAAAATCTAAGGAAAATTTAGCTGCAGAAAAGGCTGCAAAAAGAGCAAGTAAGAGTGACAAAATAAACAAAGGAAAAATTTAACAAAAAAAAAGTTTAACAAAGAGGAAAACAATGATGTGTTTTTAGATAAGCCTACACCTAATGAAGATCAAATTTATGATGAAAATACCAAAGAGTCCAGGGAGAGTAACAGCAACCGACCAAAGAAGATATTAATACAAACACTGCTGTGATAGAAGGGGCTAATACTGATAAAGTAAAAAATATGCTTACAAAGTCCAAGACATACTGTTAAAAATAAACAATCCTAAAGCCATAAATACCAGAGGAGTTCAGTTCCCGAAATGAGAGCCTTATAATTAAGAAACTTAGTTTTGTTTTTTTATTTCTGTATATTGTTAATTTTTGTTTCTACTTAACTCTTTGACTAAAAAATGTATTTTTTAATATTTTATACGAAAAAAATAAACTACCTGTTCATTTTGCTTCTTATTTCATATGCATTTCAATAGGATGGCCACAACTGGTGAAGCCTCTGGCCACAAGTAGAAAACAAGTGGCCACAACTAGCGAAACTGCTTTTTTCGGCTATTTTATTGAATTTGTCTTTGTCTGACCTATATATTTCAAATTAGATAAAAGTTCTTAAGACAAAGATATATAGTTATACTATATCTGTCATTCGAGGAGGGAAAACTGTCAAAATAAATAAATTGGAGTTGAATGAAGTTAAAAGTTTTCTTAAGATGGCCACAACCGGTACATCTACGCGTCACCTTCAATAAAATAAAATTATTTTTTATTTATATTCACTCCTGGCTAAAATTGCTTAATTAATTGAATAATCAACAAACTTTATGCTCAGTAAAATTTTGTTTTTTATAAAAGCGTTTTTCTTAGCTCCTGTAAAATTTCCTTATTTTGTAGATAATTGGTTTATGCACTGGACCCCTCAATTATTCAATTGGGGTCCAGTACCGAAAAAAATCCGTAAATCTCTCATGAAATCCGTTAAAATGGATGCGTAGAAACAGCAACACGTTACATCTTTTAACCTCATAATTGCTTCATTCAAGGTTTTCGAGAAATTTTAAGCAAATAGTAAAAAACGCAATTTTTTATATTTGAGGTAATAGTACACCAAAACTCGTTACGTCACAAGAAAGTACTACTTTTCTCATTCCGAATCTTCTTTTTTTTTCGATAAATCGGCAGTCGACATTTATTTGATTTATCGTTATGTTTATAAAATTAAACTAATGATTTTAGGAGAGGAGAAAGGATACCTATTAAAAAATAATAAAAAGGATTTAGAAGAGAAAGAGTATTACGTTCAAATGGCAAACGCGTTTTTTCTACTTTTGGGTTAAAAACCTAACGTGATAAAAATTTCCAAGGTCTAATTTCATAAAATTTATTTATTTTTAAACGATATTTTCGTAAAAAAAATGTATTAAGAAATACAAAAATAATATTGTCAATGTAAATAAGAAACAGAATATTTTTTATTAAACATAATTAGATTATTTGTAGGGTCACAATAAGGTTACGGTTCCGTTATTAGGTTCGTTAAACTTAACCTCAACATAGACATTGTGACGTCACACAAGCTCGGGGTTTTTCGGGAACTGTGGCGTGCCATCGCAAACTGGGGCAGGATTAACTCAAATCCGGTATCAATTCACAGATACCATAAATCGTATTTTAAAACCATAAAACATATTTAATGAAATATATTTGATGATTTTAAATAACATTTATATTAAGAATAAAACAAATAAAAAAAATTTATACATTTTATTATAATTTTATATCGTAAAATATATGGTAAAATATTATTAGGTATTATAACAAAAAATACGTAAATTTAATCATAATATGAGGTTGTCAAAATAAAAAATCAAGATCCATCTTTGTCAGCTTCATCGTCATCATCACTTTGACAGTCAGTGAGTGTCGGAGGAACTTAGAGGTCTAAAGCCTTTTTGTTTTTTTTTAAGATTCTTTTTACCCGGCTGCATTTTCTGGAATATTGTTCACGGTAATTTTTGTAAGTCTTTGTTACTTCTTGAGCCTCTTCAGTTAATTGTCCAACAGGCAACGGTGCCCTAGATATTATGTCTGCTCCATGCATAAAAAACTTGTGTAACGTGGGAGGCATACAATACCCACCATACAAATTTACAAAATGTCTAGCAGTATCAATGATTATCATTAATAATGATACTTTATCATGTGTACAATTCGCGGAATCGGTCGATGTTAATTGAGTGTCCACTTGATACTGCATTTTTTAAATCAATTTTACATCCAATTTGGTTACTTCCGCAGAGACTGTAGAATTAGAAGAAGAAAAAAGTCTTTTGTTGTGTTGCCATCATTAGAGCTTTCAAAGCCGGACAGGTAAGTCGACGTTTAATCCAGTCTTTTCTTTAAAATTGGTTTGGATACTTTTCTTTGTTTCTTAAGAATTCAACTATTATTTTATCATCACCTCTAGCTTGTCACTTTCCAATTGGTAGTTTATAAGATAGGTGAAGAAGACGTTTAAAAAATCGTATCCGACCATGTAGGACAGATATTCCAAATTTAAAGTTTGGTGGTATTATTTTCCTTTTAATTATTTTATCAATTTCGTTGAAATCTTTTGAGGTGGCTTGACATATGCATATGCATTACATGTAAGATGTTGTTTTCGTAATAGCTTTACAAACTTTGCCATTGATCATTGCAAAAATCATGTTGTGAGTGACTGAAATAGATCTACCGTGTTAAATGTTTTGTAACTGCTTTATTTCGGCATCCACCCGATTTTTATCCGCTACACAAATGTCCTTGATTCCTTAACAAAAGTAATCTTTAAAGGTCTGCAGTACCTTGTGAAAGACGGGCGAGGGTTCTGCCAATTCGTGGAAAATTTCCATTTTTGAGGGAAATTTTACCTTAAATTGAGACAAATTTATATCAATTCATAATGAAAATTTTAAATAAACCGTTTCCTACTTTTTCCAATGGTAATGATTCGGATTTTTTAAATTGTATGATTTTTTTTTGTATTTCATACAAAAAATTTTAACTCTATAACTTTTGATGTAACAAAACCTTATTTGGAATTACATAATAAAAATATGTATTCTTTTAAAGATTAAAACAAAAGGCCGTATTAATAAAAGAAAGGATTTCCTTTCTTTTATAAAGCATATAGGTATACCTATATATATATATATATATATATATATATATATATATATATACTTCCTTCAGCTTTTATATACATATAATTATTAATACAAGCTGAAGGATTTCCTTCATATTTGGAAAATATAACCATATCATTTTTTTATCAATATGGCAAATTGTTTTATATTTTAATTTTCCATGTAAACTGCGCACCACTCAATGTGTCGCGACCAAAAAGTTCGTCCTTTTTCAAAACGACATAACTTTTTTGTTTCTTGAACGATTTTATTTTGGTCTAAGAAGTCTGCTAACCCCATCCTCTGGCAATTCATGCTA